GTGGTTCAGCTTGATTTTTATGGACAACCACGTTCTTTAGCTTATCTATATCGACACATTGGCTCTTCAGCTCGTCTACATAGAGACTCACTGGCCCATCACCTAATCACCCACTGTCACACTTTCTATTCACTCTCAGGGTCGTCATTTGGTCCATATAGGCCTGATGATCTGTTGGTCTTCACATGTCTTACTAGAGGCTTAAATCGATTTGCTTCATGTCAACTCAAACAATAAGCTCAAATTTCAAATATATTTCACAGCATTGTTATGGGTGAGTGCGTCCGTACTTTGGAATTTCACCATCACATGGGCATTACAAAACAAAAAAATAAATTACACAAAAGTGCAGTGCATAAAAAAAAACTTAGTGTTAAACACATTATTATTTAACAAATTCATGAAATTAATTATAAATTCGATTATAATTTTTAAATAATTATAACTTAAAATTAAAAAAAATGTACAAAAATTAAAATAAAATATAAATAAATTCTTAGGGATTACTTTTAGTCTAAATAAAAAACAATGACCTTATACTAAAAAACAACAACAATATTCAATATTACACGACACTATTATAGTTTGGTTCCTTGTGTTTGAATTTGAATATGGAAAAGACGGCAATACCTAAAGGGATTCAACATCATTAAAAGAAGACGAAGAAAATTTACAAAAAAAGCAGACAAAAAATTTCAAATTTTCCGACAAAAAAAAAATATTGCAAACTCACCAGCTGTTGACATGGTCACACAGGTTGTGGCCCTGGCCAGACGACGACGTCGTCGCATAATTATGATCATCCAAAGGAGTAAAATTGCGAATAATAAAATAAATATTGGAAACCAAATATCAAAATAGATGTAGATCATTTTCGGCTATTGATTTTGATTCTGTTTTTTTACAAACTAAACGATGGAATTTTTCATTCCACAACGAAATGTTATTGTGTCGAAATATTTTGGCGTACTATTGAAACAATTATCATAAAAATTGCTTAAATAAGAAGTGGTGAGTATACACACAAAAAAACAACAACAAAACACTTGTTGTCAACTATAACGTACAATTAAAAAAGTCTGTTGAAACGAAATCATAAATTTTGTCTATGATGGGAATTGCGTTTTTTTTCAAAATGACTTAAGTCTTAGAATTTCAAATAGAGCAGATAATGTGAACATGACAGAAAGATAAGAACAGAAATGTAATTCATCACTTGTCTATATACACTTCAGGACCATATGGACTCACTGGATATTCATCATGTCCATATAGACACCTCGTCGATATATACTCCCTGATCCTTCACGCCGTCTATATGGACTCACTGGCTTTTCAGCTCTTATATAAAATTATCACTGGCTCTTGATGTCGTATAATCGAAAACCAGGTCCTTTAGCTCGCCAAATAAACGCATTGGACTTTCAGCTCGATTTTATATGGACCACCAGTTCCTTTAGCTCGTCTATATAGACTTTATCGGATTCTCTCTGGTCTTTTTTTCAGTTTGTCTTTTTATAGACTACTTGCCTCTTCAGTGCATCCACATATGGACACCCTGGTATTTACCCCTCGATTTCAAGCACATTATCTGTCCCTTCAACTTGACTTTTCGTCGTTTTTCTTTCAGCACGTCCGCATAGTCATTGGACCTGCAAAACTCTTACAAAAAAGTTTGCTTTATTCAATAGTAAAAAAATTAGTTAGTCTATTTTCAAAATCACTGCAACCGATAACACGAGGATATAATTCAAATATATTTATCTTTTTGTGTTTGTTGTTGTTTTTTCGCTATTTTTTGCATACACACAAACACATACCCAATATGATGTTATATCAAAATTAAAAATGTCCATACTTTTCCATTACAAATCCCTACATATGCATATGATGATAAGATACGGAGAGGGAATCAATAGTTCGCCGTTACTCACCGAAATTGAAATTTTGAAAATAGTTTCCAAGACAATTTCTTTGAATTCAATCGAAGCAAGGAAGAGTAGTGTGTGCAACGAGTGAATCCTAAGGTGTAAATCAAATAGAGGGATTTTACGAAAAGCCGGACAACACATTATTCAGTGTTGCTAGAATTAAAACGCAATAAAACAGAAGAAACCGGTTTCTAGTACTGATGCTTGTAAGGGAATAAAAAAATCTATACCCATCACTTTGAAAATCTATTAATTGGAATAAATAACTTGCAGCTTGTTTTAGAGTAACCAAATAATTAAAAAATGCTAATATTTTTTTAGTTTTAATACCGCAGGAGTAGGAGACGGAAGTGGATTGAGGAGGAGTGTTATTAATGTAAGTACAAATGTACTTTTATGTCTTCATTTATTTACTAAACCTGATAATCGATTCCATAGGGCCAAAAATACCTCAAATTGCAAATTTTCTTATAGGAATTTCAATAACCAAATGCGGAATTGGCAGGCAAAAGGTCTATCAAGCAAAGATGAATGTAGATTAAGAAATCCAGTAGTGTATACAATTCAAGTTTCACACGGCCAACGGCCAAATTGATGGTACAATACCAGCCACCCGCATGTTGGCTAGACTAATTTAAAAAACCCTACAACATTTATATAATTAGTGGCTACATTCCGAGATAATATAGTCCAATAATCTATATAGAATCTCTGGTACTTCTCATTATCTATACAGATTACCTCGGGTGATCTCCGTAGATTGTATTCACACGATATTCTCGAATTGTTTCCTCAACTGCATCCGTGTGAATACGATTCAATAATCCTGCTTGATATGCCTGTTGGTCTAGAGGCTCCCTTTTGTATCTTTGGACCTCTCTCTCTCCAGATCATGCAGATCCTTCTTACAACATACCGGCCTATTGCCGTGTTTATTGTTAAGAAGGTTTCTTTATCAGCTCCCCAAGTGCTGCCGGCTAGCGACTTGAGAACCTTGTTTCTGCACCTGATCTTATTGCAAATAGCTGTGGAATGCACGGACGACTTATGAAGACTATCGAATGTGACCCCTAGAACCTTGGGGTAATTGGTGGTCGGAATTGTGGACCTGCATATTCAAAGATAGCCGCATCTCCGATGTCAATTTGGTAAACAGTGTGGCCGTTGACTTAGTGGATATTTCCATATTCCTCGTCCGGAAAAAGTCTGCAATATCCACGAGATATGGGTTTAGCCTCTCGCAAATGTCATCAATTTTAGGTCTTGACGCCATAATCGTACAATCTTCTGCATAAGTTACGATCTTTATGCCGTCCGGTGGGTATGGAATTCCAGAGAGTTAGAGGTTAAACAGTTCCGGAGATATCACTCCTCCTTGGGGAACTCTCTGTTTAACTCTACGGGCCTTCGACTTCCTGTTTCTGAATTCCACGAGTCAAACTTGGCTGGAGGGTTGTTCTCTCGACGTCCTCGAAAATCTTGGCGGTATCAAATGCCTTTGATAGGTCAAGCGCCACCATGACTGTCCTGTTACACGGCCTGTTCTGGTTGAGTCCTTCCGTGTGTGGAAATGGTGTGCAAAGCTGTTGTTGTACAATGGTGCTTCCGAAACTGAGTAGTATTCACGAATGCTAGGGAGTAGTAAAGCCTCAAGTGTCTTAACTACTGGCGACAAAAATGAGATCGGCCTGTATGACTCAACTTTGCTGGCATCCGGGACCACCCTGCCCATTTACCAGGCATCGAGAACTATTAGGGTGGCTATCGACAAGTTGAGGACTTTAGTAAGGTACTCTACTCCGGGGCCATCAAACTGCTACAACATCACCATGGAGATTCCATCTGGACCAAGCGCCTTGGATGATTTCGCGCTTCTAAAGGCACTTGCAACATCCTCCAACGTAAATTGTGGTGGTTCCTCCAAGTACCTATCAATGTATGTGGTTTCTTACTTTGCATTCTGCTTCTACATTTACTCTCTGGACCTTTTATGGCTCTTTAGCTCGTCTATATAGAATCCGAAGTCTTCCGTTTACCAATAAACACTATTTGCTGCTGCTGTCTCTCTCTTTATATATATATATATTTTTTTTTTCTTGAACATTTAGCTGGAGTTCAAGGTCGTCTATCGGAAACACTTGTGTTTCATTTCCGTTTGCTTTGGATTTTAATCGGTATCCGGAAGTAGGTGGAAGAAAAAAGAACTGTACGAACAGTTTATAAATATGTAGAGTAATATAAAAAAAAAAAAACAGTTGAACCATTGAATTCTCCACCAGCGATATAATTGTGGTCAAATAAAAAAATGTTGATAAATTTATTTTTACTTTCCCAAGCATGTTTTGGAAATAATAGGACTGATAAGACCTCAAGAATGCTTAAAAAATATTTAAAAATACATATTCTTTTTTATCATCGCACATTTTTGAAATGTGTTTTTTTTTCATTGCTTTTGAGGTCAAAACTATGATCCTTACATTATAAAATGTCGCTGTCCATTTTTGGACTGCAGACGGCATGGATGTGCTGTGTGTCATTTTCCTTCATGTCTAACCTTATACTCTTCTATGGAGCTTGCCTTAATCTACATCATCATCAAAAATCAAAGTGGCTCATGTAGACCCTTATCTCTCTTTTATTTGCTTCTTTTCGTTTTTTGTTGGCTCACAACGGACAAAAGGTGTCCGAGTGACGCAGTAAAAGTTTACATAGCATTAATCCTAAAGTTTACATAGCATTAATCCTAACGTTGTGACACACTTGTTTGTATTTGCAGCTGCCGGACAAACCGATTGATTGTTTCAAACTTGTTTTTTAAACAATAATAATTATTAGTTCGCTAGTTTTAATAGCACCTATTAATTCTTATGTAAATTCTGAGATTCTCCACTTATAAATTTATTATGGAGTTATTTTTCAATTAATTTATTAATGCAATCAATTGTGTTGCCATGTAATGATAGCTGTTAATCGACCAACCTCCATCAATTGGAAGATAATAATACATAACAAATTACAAACAAATATACATAATTATTTGTGAATCAGAAAAATTATCATTGGACTCACCTGATAAGACAGTTCCACGACGTTTCTTCGTACAACAATAGCCACAGCAGCTAAAGATGACAAACACGAAGAAGAACATGAAACATATTCCCCAGAAATCCATGTCGCCGTCGAAATCTTCGTGGATATCGTCGAAATCCTCTAGGTAACCCACTGGTGAGGTGAGTCAAAATAAACATGAAATAGAAAAAAAACTAAATTAAAATAATTGTTACTACTAGTGACCACAAAACATGTGGTACACCGGTCGCTAATCATACACAATTCCACAATGACGACTTACGTTTCGTAAAGTTTTGCTTAAAATCCAAGAACAGAAAATTGTTAAAATTGTTTAAACAAAGAAAGAAAAACGTCACGGCAAGGACGTTGTTCTTGTTGTTGTTTCAGGGAAATCACCAAAATATTCTTTTTTAATCGGGCACTGGATTGCTATAAAAAACGACCACTTGTTGGTTTGTCTTAATTTTCGTTATCACGATCCCTTTTTTCTCTGATATTTGATCTACGATTGGTTGTTGTTTAGCTATAAAGATATCAGTTAATATCTAATTTTTATTTGTTTATATATTTAGTAAAAAAAACAACAGACAATTGGGGTATTCGGTTTGGTTTTCTTTGCGTCACTTCTTTATTGAGGATGGATGGCTGGTTGAATGGTGGGGTCGCAAATTTTTTACACAAACATCAAAACACGCACACACACTGATGATGAAATACAGATGTCAATGGTAATCAGCTGATTGATGATGGGGGGCAATGACATACTTAAATAACAGCGTATGTCATTTGAATGACAATTTACTAAAAGAGGTTGATAGGTAAAGAAAGCATATTTTTAATTAGTTAATCTGAAGTTCAACGATGACTCTTTGTGTGATTGGTACCAGAAGATGTGAATGGATCGGTTCCATTGGACTTTCTTCAGGCTTAAAATCGGCTTAGTAATTTTTTTTATATGTATCGCAACATTAACTTAGTCATATGAAATAGTTATTCAATGGAACGTTTTTCACAGTCACTCGAAATAGTTATTTAATGAAACATTTTTCATCGGTTCCTTTGGGCTATTTCAGGCTTAAAATGGGCTTAGTAATGTATTTTTTATATGTATGGCAAAATTAACACAGTCATATGAAATAGTTATTCAATGGAACGTTTTTCACAGTCAGATATAGTTATTCAATGGAACGTTTTTCATTTTGATTGGTTGTTGGTTTATGTTCTTAACTGTCAAATCTTTTGGTGTGGTGTGATGTGTGTGTGTTTTGTGTGCAAGTTCTTTCTTGTTTTGATTGTACGCCAAAAGAAATAAAAACAACCATTTCATTGAGGAACAAATATAAATCACGCCAAGAATTTCATCACCGTTTTTTCAACCCGAAAAATGTCCCGAAAGAATAGAAGCCGCCTGGCCAAGAAACAATCCCGTAAAAGTTTCCGTCAAAAGAAGAAAATATTACGAAAAATTAATCAAAGTAAATTTGGCCGTAACAAAGATGCTGTTGTAACATCGAATGGGAATAATGTGGTGCTTCTCAATGGCCAGACGACGACCATAAATGATTCCGCCACCACAAGTGACAAAGCGGCAGCGGCTGTAAGTATGGTGATCTTCAGGCGGAAAAGTCATCCTGAAGGAAAGTTAATTTTATTACCTAAATTATAATTTAGTTGTTATCGTATAGAGTTCCATGAATAAGTTTCGACCATCTACATATGGATGCATTTGTTTCTGTGTGGTTAAACCGCGCTGCATCTTCATGGAAACTCAATAAGTGCTATACTGATTTTTAATTGTAATGCAAAATTATCTATGGATATCCAATAACAGGATAATATCAAATTTGCTATTTACCGAATCATAGAAATGCTCTAATTTACGCGCCAAAATTATACTTAGAGTCCAGTTGCAGTTTGCTTGAAAAAATATTACTAGATACTAGGATTACAATGATGTGTAAGTCCATACATACACATCCAATCCAATGATGTGTAAGTCCATACTTCCATACTTATTATGGACCTCCAAAGTTCCGTTAGGACCATTAAAAAAACAAGCGCCTTTATGTAGCTGTATATTCAGTAGAAGTCCCTACTATTTTTCATTTAAAAATAAGATTCTCTTAAATACACGACCGAAGGCCGATCACCCGTAAAAATATTTTATTCTAAAGGCCTATATCTCTAAAAGTTGTATACCAAAAGATAATTGTATTCTGCAATAGTTGTCCCATTATCAATTATTTTAAAATTCTCCATTATTTTAAAATAATTTTGTTAATGCTTCTTTTGTTAATCCTAAGGCGTGTTAAAAAAAAAATTGAAAATATATTACGGTTAGTCCTTAATACCCTGGTTATAATTACATATTTTAGCTATAGGCTTTCAATCTAAAAGTACTTCCAGTTTTACATGATAATTTCTAAAAAATATAACCATAACATAATATAATTTACATTGTGTATATGAAATATTAATTCTGTCAGTCGGTCTTTTAACTCCTCGTCATATCTATATCTCATATTAAAACCAGGCCACCTGCTTAATGTAATAATGATGCTATCACCCGGAAGAATTGTGATAGGGATGCAATCAGATCTGATTCTGATTACGTTTGACTATATCAGTCCCAAATTTTGATATTTTGAAAATTTTTAACAAGCACTCTGCAAAGATTCTGATTCGTAGAAAAATATTCCTACCAGAAATCCATTTACACAAGAATGTATTTGCTGGTTTGTTAGCCCTTGGTCGGAATGTACAGATTCAATCCGGTACATATAGCCGTCTGGTCCAAGCATTCCATGTTCTTTGTAACGGAATGATTTAAACATCACATGCCGTTACATTCACGATGACAGGATAAACTCCAATACATACCAACTGACAGTTATCCCTTCCACTAAGATTACCATTTAGAGAAAGAAAAAATATTATTTTATGGATAAGGGGGATGTTTTCATAATGAAATACCTGAAAACACCCAACAACTACCCCCTTAAACATTTTTCAAAACAAGTTCCATTAAATTCCTTTGTATTCTTAAAACATTACCTCCCTTAAGGGCTACACAAATGATGGTAACCCTTAATACAAACCCCTCACAAAAAAGCTCCAATGTTAGGAAAAGCTTTCCGCCACCCCCGCCCAACATTTATCATAACAAACCACCCCATTTTTCGCCCTTCTCAGTCAAGCTAAACAGCACTCAACAAATTTTCATTAATAGAAAATCTTTTGACTCATACAGTTTATTAGACAAAAAAGAACAGAAAAATACAAAAACAACAAATACCCCAAAAAGCCAACAAAAATTTTAAGTGATATTTTTTTTTAATAATCTTGCAAAAATAATCAATAGTTTCCTATAAATTACCAATAAAAGAAAGTACCTCTCAACACATTTATTTTAACTAAATAAATTAAAAAAAAGCAAAGCAACATGACCACTTGTGACTTATACGATATCTGGTCCAAGGCCTGTAATCATTATGATTTACCCGAGGCCAGCATACGTTCCTGGTATGAACGTATACGTTGTAAACTCAGCGAAGAGGATAGTAAACGTGTCTATCACAATTGGTCATTTATGCTGGCCCACAAACGGCCCGAATTGGAGAATGCCAAACCGCACATTGTGTTGGCAGCCTTTTTCCAATACTATGAATTTGATTTACAAAAAAATTGTGTACAAGAAAATTGTGAAATATTTCGTGAATTTTGTCGTGATGCCATGGTGGAGGATGTAAGTACATAAATAGAATAATAGAACATTGAGATAATTTAATATAATTAATTGTTTTGAAATTTTCTAGGATAATATGAAACAAATTGTCTGCCGTTTATTGGGTGAGAAAAGTACTGAAACAATTACCTCAGACATAGATGATGATATGGCCATATTACAGGATTTGGATTTGTTGATATTGGCGTAAGTATTGTGCAATGTCATTTACACATATGTTTGGTAATAGTTTTCAAGGTTGTTGTTGATTTTTTGTATTTTGTATCTAGTTCCTCACCAGATGACTATAAAAACTATGCAGAATTATCACGTCAGGAATGGTTGAATGCTGGTAAAAGTAATTATGAAGATCTGAGACGTAAGGTGAGTTTTTACAAACAACAAAAACAAATGTATACGTATTAAGTGATCACAGAAAACCTATTATAGGAAGTATTTGCATATTTTTAATTAAATCGTAATCTTCACTCTTCCTTCAAGGGAGATTTACAACTTTTTTTGTTGAAAATTTTTCCCTTTGTGAGGATGGTAGCTAGAGGAGTGGCTCGATTCGGAATCGCTTTTATTGTCGTTGTCGATTTAGGATTCTTAAAAATATTTCAAAATGCAAAGATCCGATAACAATTGTGTCTATAAACAATACTATGAATTTGAGGAGACACCCTAAGGTTGATATTCTGACAGGTCTAAATATTCTACCACTGACTATCAAAAAAAAAAAGCTAGGAAACCACCGCGGCGCGGCATAGCTTATAACTTATCGGCCTATTGTCACCACCCCAAGTGCTACCAGTCAGTGACTTGAAGGCCATGTTTCTACTTCTCAGTTTACCGCTAATAGCACCAATAGCGGTCAACAAATATTAATAAAAAAAAAAACAAAACCATTCGTGGGCCTTGAATAAATATTCTTACAAAAAGTCCACGCCTATTGATAGGCTAAGAAAAAAATTAAAAATAGTCCACACCTATTGAGTGGCTGTGAAAAAAAAAATATTAAAAATAATCCTCACCTATTGATAGTCTATAAAAAAAATAAAAAAAGTCCACGCCTATTGATAGACTATGAAAGAAATTAAAAAAAGTCCATTGATAGGCTATGAAAAAAATTAAAAAATAGGCTATGAAAAAGATTCCACGCCTATTGATAGGCTATGAAAAAAATATTAAAAATAATCCACGACTATTGATAGGCTTTGATAAAATATTAAGAAAATCCACGCCTGTTGGTAGGTCTCAAGTTTACTGGTGTGCCTTAAACATTTTTTAAATCAATCCCCCTGTTGGTAGGTCTTGAAAAAGTATTTCTAAATCCACGCCTTTTGGTAAACTGTGAAAAATATTTTTGCTAGACTTTGAGACAATATAAAATGATTTCCTAAAAAAAGTTCTCCGCTCTTTTGTGATCACTTAATATTGGAATTATTACTTTATAACAAAAATGTCTCTCTCGATTAATTTTTCTAACCTGTTTCTCTCTTATTTTTTCGTAGACTTTAAATGCCCTATTGGCCTTGGACATATATCAGACACCGGAATTTAATGCCAAATATGCCAAAGCAGCACGTGCAAATATTGAACGGGAATTAAAAGATTTAGAAAATTGTTAGATATATATAGTTACTATTTATATACACATATATATTCTATATTCAGGCTTCTTGTTCTTTATTCCTTTCAATGGGAATAATGTTCCATTTGTTTTTTGTAGATCTATTTATTTTGGAATAATTTGTTTTTTTGGATGATAGTTTAGAATTTGTACCAAGTTTAAAAAAATGATTTATAAAATTTTAATGAAAAATGATTTAGAATTACTTTTGAAAGGATTTCAAGAGTATTTTAAAGAGGAGAATATTGGTATCATTCACTCATTGTCGTACATTGCCATTGTAATATCCTTACCCACACAAACACTATCAAAATTACATTTTCAAAATTAATTAAATATAAAATGCTTCTAACCCAAATAAAAAAGTAATTAAAAAATGAAAACCCCTGAAATTGGTTTCTCCGTCCATTCGCTTTTTTACATTTGTACTAAATTTACAAAATTATAATTATACAAAAACAAGATTTGGATCACTTATTTCCGAATAACTTCCGACTTTGGCGACAATAACAACCTCATAACTCCTCTGGTACAACTAATATTTATGTGTTTAAAAAAAATGTGTTCTCTGCTTAATGTGTAATAACAACAACAACATGTAAATGCCAACAAATATTCCAAATGAACAATAACAAAAATATATACACCACAATAATGCAAAAAAAAAAAAACAATGTCCCCTCGCTTTTCACTGCGGAATTTGTAGTTTTATTTTTAATATCAAGCAAAAAAGGTTTTTTGAATTTCAAATTTCATCGTTGGACAAGTCGTTAGGTAGGTATCCAATGGAAAGTAAACTGAATCATTATGGTGGATGGAACTTAAAATGGAATTTCAAAGGAATTTTAAGTTACCACCCTAATATCATTAAGTATCAGTTCGCCTATTATCATAATGGAGGAGTAGAAGTGAAATTGATTATGAATTGAATCGTTAAAATAAAATATTCTATAATAATAAAAATGAATGCATTTTATAAAAATAAATAAAATATTACTATATTGAAATTTATCTTATGAAGAAATTTCTATATAGAGAAAAATTAGCAATTCAGCTAAAGATTTTATTCCTACATAAGAAAAAGTTTATTCAATTCAACTGAGGAATACTTCTCTATATACAAAAATCCTGAGGAATATTTTCCATACATAGTCAGCTGAGAGATATTTTTTCTATGTGGAAAAAATGCCTTGGTTTAGCTGAAGAATGTTTTTTTCAGTATTGAAAAAATATATAAAAAATATTTAAAATGTCCACGCTTATTGACAGGCTAAGTCCACGTCTATTGATAGGCTATGAAAAAAAAATCAAAAAAGTCCACACCTATTGATAGGCTATAAAAAAATATAATTTCTATAGAAAAAAATAATCCCCTATTCAGCTGAGAAAAAAATATGATTCAATTCAGCTGAGGATAACTTTTTTCTATATATTAGAAAAAATTAAGCATTTTTATATGTAGAAAAAATCCTCCCTCAGCTGAATTGAGGATTTTTTTCTATATAGAAAAAAAGTTTCTTCAGTTCAGCTGAGAAAGATTTTTTTTATTTTTAAATATTTTTTTCAGTATAGAAAAAATTGCTTAGTTCAGCTGAGGGATGTTTTTTTCTACATATATAGAAATTCTTCAATTCAGTTGAGGATGACTTTTTTCTATATATAGAAAAAACCCTCAGTTCAGCAGCAGTTCAGCTGATGAAGACTTGTGTATAGAAAAACGATGCATTTTTATATGTAGAAAAAACCTCCCTCAGCTGAATTGAGGATTTTTTTTCTATATAAAAAAAAGGTCTTCGATTCAGCTGAGGAAGATTTTTTTCTATATAGAAAAAAGGTCACTTCATTCATTATTTTAAAATCAAAACCTGGTCTTCTTCACTCTCTCCTCCCTAAGTGATAATATTGATATTTATGATTTATTTTTCTTTTCTCAATGCCCACTGAAACCTGGCGGACAAAAATCAAAATGATGAATTCTCTATAATTTGATATTTCCCCGTCATGTCAAAATCCACGGGGCCGAATTATATTGAATTTATCGTTTAGATACAGTTTTCAGGGGTAAATAAAATTCAAATTTACTTTCCACAGAAAGGTAAGTATTGCATTTTTTTAATTAAATTTATTAATTTTTTTATTAGTTTCTTAAAATTTACATTTTATTTTATTTTTATATAATTATATATATTTTTTATTTTTTAATATTCTATATTTTTTTTTGCATTAATTAAATATTTTTCAAAAGAAGCAAACTAATAATGATGATATTCCAAGCTCGTCAAGAAAATCACCACCAAAAATGTGGAAAAAGAGTCCACTGAAGGCTGCCTATATAAATAAATTTCAAAAATTTAGAGATGATAAAGCGGTAAGTTTTGCAATTGAATTGAAATTTTGTTGAACCAAATACACTAAAATTGAACTCGAAAAAATGTTTGGAAACTATGCAAATTGAAAAAAAATATATATATTTTTTCCCAGAGGATGAAATACCTCCAACCGGTTGAGGTATTTATTTTTAAACAAATTTGGTCCTTTGAGATCTCAAAGCATAAATACTTCCTAAGAGAAAATTTTCAATATAGACCTTTGGTTTAATTCACATTGTCATATATATAATTAGATATTTCGAAGGTCGAAGGGCTTATAGACATCCTCGTGATCGATCCCGAAATATATACTTCCTATCAATCTTCACGTCAAATTTGCTCATGTTGTTCAGACTATCCAGCTTCCTTTGCAAGGCGAAGGCCTTAGCCTTGGAAAATTCTTCGAGTTCATTATAAGCGTGTTCGTTTAGGTCCATATGAATAGAATTAAAATTTTTAATATTAATTTGTTTTCTATCTATCTCCTCTTTCTAGAAAAAATTACTTAAACGGAGTAAATTGATTATGCTTGATCTGAACAAGTCTCAGCAAGCCAGCAATGGTAGTGGTGGCGGTGACAGATTATATCTAAATAAATCGGCTCGGAAGCAATTGAAATCACCCAAGCAGATCAAAAGAAACAGAAATCTTAGGAATCACAATAAACCAAAAACTCCTCTCAAAAGTCAAAAAAATCCATTGGGGAACAACAAGACCGCAGAGGATATCAAAGAGAAAGGCAACAACAACAACGCTAATGATAATGAGGATGATGATTGTATTTTGATAGAGAAAACCTCGACACAAATTATCATCGATGATGATAGTAGCAGTAGTAGTAGTAGTAGTGATGATGAGGATGATGATAACACCAAGAAATCCCAGAATTCCAAAACACCAACAGCCAACATACCCGAATATCAATCATTGTTTCAATCGTTTACACAACGGGGCTCATCCACTCCCCTTAATAAAAATAGCCAAAGACTAGTGGCTTCAAAGAGAAAAGCCAACAATAATAATCCCCAAAGCTCACCACAAAATGTATCCTATGCCCAAATTGTGGCCAGCACCACAACACCGAACAAGAATTCACCACAACAAGGCAATGATTTATTTTTTGTTGATGTTAATTGTAATGCATTTCTAGGAAATATAAAATACATTCCAAGGAAACCAATAACGGATACAAACAAAAATCCTTCGCAGCCAGATGATGATGATGATGTTATTATTATTCCCGACAATGATACAACACTGAAAGATCAAACTAATAGTGCAGCTGCGAAGAAAATCGACAATAAATCATCATCCTCCTCCAGCGAATCGTCATCAAGTGATGACTCTTCATCAAGTGAAGAAGAAGAGGAGGAGGATGGAGAAATTGTGAGCAACAATAAAAAGAAAAAACTGCAAAACATTGCTGATGATTCTGTTGTATTTATATCGGAAACAAATTCCAATGATTTTATACCCTTAAATGATGGTAGAACCACCGGAAATAAAAATCAAGCGGTAATAATTTATTTCAAAAATCTGACTTTTTTAAATTATCCCTTTTGTATTTTAGAAATCTCAAAATCCCACTCAGCTCTCCAAGCCGCCAGCCACCAAACAACCCATGTATAGTGATTTGTTTACCAGAAATGAAAAGAAACAACTGGAGGCTTACAATAGTAATGCCTATAATCCCAATGCCGGTGAAGGATTTACCGTCAAGAAACGTCCCGTTATTATAGATGGAAGTAATGTGGCCTTCAAGTAAGTAAACCGGGAAGTATTAGTAATGATAAATAACACTGTGAGAAAAAATCGAAATCATGATTTGGGAGGGGGGTGGAAATTTTCTATTGGACATGAAAGACCTTGGTAATTAAATGAAACCCCCAGCCAAAAAGATTTTGGTGACTAGAAGCAGCGTGGATTTTTTAAAATATTTTTTTCAAAGACTGTAAGACGCGTGGACTTCTTTTATTATAAAGCTTGGATTTTGTAAATTAACATACAAACAAAATTTCTGTTTCTTTAGGCACTCCTTGGACAAAGGCTTCTCGGTGAAAGGTCTTAAAATTGCCATCGAATATTTCGAAAGTATGGGACATGAAGTTAAAGCGGTTATACCACAATTCCGAATGAATCAAAACAAATCAACCGATCCTGCCGAATTGGATAGACTGCATAAAAGTGGTAAAATTGTACAGACGCCATGTAAAAATTTACCCGGACTTACCAGTACCAGTTATGATGATCGGTACGATGATAAAATTAATAAACATTATCAATTAATATTTTGTATTTAATTTAAATGTTTTTTATTTACAGTTTTATATTACAATTGGCCTGTGCCATGGACGCTGCCATTGTTTCCAATGACAATTATCGTGATTTGCTACATGAAAATCCGGCATTTAAGAAAATGATTGAGACGCGTGTAATTGGTTACACGTGGTGTAATGATATATTTATATTGCCCAAGGATCCCTATGGTAAATGGGGTCCCACACTGGATATGATACTTAATCGTTCATAGATTTATGCTTTTGTTTGTTGCTGCCTTTTTTAATGATTTTTTATTTTTATTTAAATATTATTAATGTTACTATTAGTTTACAACGTTTTTCTACTCAACGCCAAAGG